CCAGAAATTGCTTGCCCAGAGGCTCCCGATGTTTTTTGTTTTGCCCTCAAACAGCCAGGTGTTGAACACCCCAACCAATTCCCGGGGTGTCGTTTTGCTTCGGGGCCGGGTCTTCCGATGAACGCCGAAGCCAGTAGAAAGCGAAATCGCCCGAGGTCCAGGAGTACTTCCAAACCATCGGCCTGGACGTCCTGGACGCGTGGAGTCTTTTTAAACTCCTGGACTTGGATGCCGGAGGCTCCATCAGCATCGAGGAGAACCAAAAATCGATCCTGCCCCCCGAAAAAAAGAAGAAAAGAACACACGAAACGAAGAACAAGCCGTTGAAATCTCGGGATTCAGATCCACGCGCGCCGACACTGGCGCGATCCTCCTTCTCCGGACATAGATCCAACCAGCGCCAGTTAAACCGCCGAGGAATCTCCGGATCCAGATCCAACCACCCCAAAAGCCATCGCCTTTGAACCGTGTGGACAGCTCCGGAGCTCGCGTCGACCTCCGCGCCGCCGCGCCATTTGGGCCGTGGCCAGGAGTTCTTCACGGGTTGCCTGCGCCTGCGGGGCAACGCCAAGGCCATGGACATCGCCAAGGCCGGGGCCCAAGACCGAACGCCGGCCTTACCGGGGACAAGGAGGTGGTTGTTTTTCCCAGAGGTTTGGGGAGCTTAAGGTCTTGTAGATAGAATTTCTTGGTGGCCAACACCCATGGGAGAAATAGGGTGATTCATTGGTGCTCCCTTTGCAGGGTTGCCATTTCTCGACATCCTTGTGTGACAATGTTGAGAATCCTGAGGTAGTCGAGGTGAGCTATGGCGAAGCTTCAAAGAGAGCAAGTGGAATCCAGAGATCCATGAAATCGCAACACGAGGTCGTGACCCAAAGCTCATAGTTCTTGGGCCTATTTTGGTGTGTGAACTCTCACGGCAGAGCCCAGTTGGAAAGGGCCCCTATCCTCTCTTCCGGGCTCTGTGAAGTCCAGAAGCTCCCAGCCAGGTTTCATGTTAGGTGATCTCCGTTTAGCAGACCCAAACTGATTTCCACGTTACACTCAGGTGAAACGGGCATCATTCTATATCATTTCGACTGATCGTCGGCCCCTTGACAGAAAATAAACCCACATCTTTGTGAGTTGTGCCACCAACTGACAAACCCCGGCGAAATTTGCAGAGTAACTTGTTGTCGCTTCAGGTGATCCATGATCAGACCTGGCTGGTGAAGAACCAAGGGGCCTTCCAGCAGTACATGGACAAGGACTCGCATCGACTTTTTGTGGCCAATTTACTCAGGACGAGAGAAGAACCTCAGCTTGTGGCACCACAACGGTCATGCCGGGAAAGACACAAAGGGTCACTTTTCGCTTCCCAGGTCCTTTGGGCAAGCAAGGTCTTGCGAACCTCAACCCCCACCAGTTGCACGTTACCGCTTTGCCAGCTCAGTTGACGCTTGCGAGGAGATGCAGTCGTTGAATCAGCAGCTGCGCGCCTTACGAAAGATGATGGTAGATTTGGCTAGCTAGGCTTGCTCTGAGCGAAGCCAGTCCGACTATTTTTCAGAAAAACACACACACACACACACACACACACGCACACAACACATACAACACAAATGAAAGAAAGGTGACCAAGACCCAAAGGCCAGGCAAAAAGACACACATAAACTTGCTACGTGAAGGAACGTCGACCCAACCCCCTGAGACAGTTATTCAGTCATTGGACGACGACTTGGTCCATCACAAGTCGGTGCTTCTTGATGGGGTTCTGAGCGTATTCGACCCTTTAGACAAATCCTTCACCCTTCAGTGCAAAAGTCCCGGAGGGTCAACCCGCCGAACAACAGTCATACCCACGAGCGTCGATCCCCGAAAGGATATGCTTCTGAAAATTGAAGGATGTTGGGGTTTCATGACAGTTTGCATTGGAGTATCCTTCATTTCCTCGCAGTGGAGTATCCTTCATTTCCTCGTTTGTCATGTTGTTCCCCTCGGTTTGGTTCAGGGCAAAGCCATGTGTGACTTCGACAACATCTCAAGTTGTCAAGAAAGCGACCAAACAAACAAAGAGACCAACAAATAGACAAACCCTGAAATTCTTAGACTTGCTTGTATTTGCCCTGAGAATAGTTCCATGATTATGTATTATTTTGCTGAGTATCCTTTTGTTTGGAATGGATTCGGCATTCTTTGTGGGTATTAGGCTAGAGCTAGGGGTGCTCGCAAATGTCTGCAAGCAAATTGCCTGGGGACCAATGATTCAGTCCGGCAATAGAGAACAGATCGATTTAGTGGTTGTTTTCATACTTGGTTTGGTATCATAGTCACTAATGCTCACATGGTCACTATGGTTTGGCATCCTCTTGGTTTGGTATCTCTTATCTCCAAGGGTGGTATATAGTACATATCCCTTGTTCATGCTGGTTGGTTCCCAACCCACCCTGGGTATATACTCGGAAAGTGGCAAACAGCACGCCCAAGGAATCACGTATTCAAAGGGTGCGGGAGGTACTGTGGATTGACGAAATCCTGCACCACCCAAGAACCCTAGAATATTGATTCCCCTGTAAATGCCAACAAACAATGGTTTCCCATGGTTTCAAACTGGTGCAAGATTTCGCCCATGCACAGTATGTGCAAACACCAGACGCAGACTCTTTGAACTGCCTCTTGCAGGCGCTGTTGCACCAGGTTCCTCGGAGCAGTTCCGCGGAACGACGCGAAGACATCGAGTCATCTCTCCCGCCTAAGGTGCAGAGATCGATCGACTTAATGGGGCTGCCGGGGAAAACGGAAGCGCTTGGAGTCTGAAGTGAACCCAGCTGTCAGCGGTTTCCCGGTTCAAGGTTTGTTAACAGCGGGCTTTGGTGTGAGATAGGATACACATAGTACAGGTGACTCAAAGCCAAGAGAGCCAAAATCAAACCATGATGGATGAAGCTTAGAACTCAGGACCCTCCCATGTGCGTGTGGGTGCGGCTTCGGAGGCCCTCTGGTTCTTCTTGGGTCTTGGGTGTACTCTTTTTGATGCCAGGCTTGTGACTCCCGAGAACAAGCCCCTTTTTTGGGGGGGAATAGGGTTTGGGGGTAGGGTGCCCCCTTAGTCAAGCCCGGAGTTAGGGCCATCGAACTCATCTTGTGCTGGAGCAACAGATCGCCTCGTTTTCCCGGGTGCTCCTGTTGTGCGCCACCTTTCCTTGGCCGCCGAAGGGTTTGGTGAGTTCCAGCATCCCGGCACCGAGCATTCCGTGCGCCGCGAGCGGAAAAGGGCGGGGACCGGAAAAGGGCGGGGAGGTGGGCGAAGGGGCTGTTCACCTGCCAACTGAAGGTCTGAAGGGCTTTGGCTTATCCCGGGTTACTCAAGGGATAGGCCCGCTATAGCGTCCTCAGGTCAATGATTCTTGGCGCTCGCACCATTTAAGTGGGGATCTGGATTACTTTTGGGAGTCTCCCGCGTGATTTGCAGGGCTGAGTCATCCGGGGTCAACAAAAAGGCAACTTCACGACGTCGCCCAGCTCTGCGGACGCCTCAATGAGTTGATTGATTTTCAGGATTCCGGACTTGTTTTGCTGGAGCCGCAAATGACGACCGACAGGTCAGTTGTCATTCGTCAAGATGACCGCTTTTGTCTCCGTTTTTTTTTTTCAGGGCCACAGCCATCACCGCAATCCCTGACTTGGCAGGTCCCAGGTTTTTATCAGAAAGTTCCAGTCTGGCGGTTGACACTTGGGGCTGGAGGCGTGGTTGGTGGCGCCGAAGCTTAAAACGAGGGATTCGTTACCTGAACTACACAGTACACAGTTTGCACAACTGGATGGCGGGGGGGGGGGGGGCGTTTTGCTGGCCACGATTTACACGCGTTTGCTTCTTTGAATCAACTGGTTTACAGCAACGAGTTTGACAAAGGTGGCGGAGGCCAAGGAAAGGATGGCAGCACACAGCACTTGAACAAAAGAAAAGGACAAGGCAAAGGGTGAGAAGGTGGAACCCTCGGCCATGTGAATTCAGGGGAAGGGCAGGCGTCAAGAGCTTCTCATTCTGAACTTTGTGTACTTGTTTGGAAGACTATTTTAGGGGTAAACAACAAGCACGATGTACATTTGTGCCAATCCACTCTGGAAGTCAAGTTTCCCTTTGGGTGATGTGTAAGGCGGCGACTCTGTCATAGGGATGAACACAGCGGCATCAAAGATAAAATCAAATTTTCCACATCGTGGAGAGGCTTGCTGCATAGCTGGGTATTTGTCACAATGAGTTGGTCTCCTGTTCACTTGACCGCAGTCTAAGTGTGTGTGTGTGTGTTTTTAAGTTAGTGGGCACTGAAACAACTGTTGTGATGTGACCGGTTTCGTTTCATTTCAGTGAGCTAAGCAGTTCCCGCCCTGGATTTCGAGTGGCCCAAGGGCTCGCCTTGAGGGCTGGGGTGGGGGCTGGCCACTGGTTCGTCAGCAAGACCGATGGGCATGCGACTTGGTCATTTTTCCAGGTGCCGGTTTTTCGCGCAAATTGGTATGGAAGCTAACAACCCCCTCCCCCAAATGATTGTTACAATAATGTACAATAATCTTCTCTTGGGAATCGGACGCCCCACGGAGCCATGTGAAAAAACATAACAAGGGATTAGCACTTAGTCCCAGATTTATCTTGCATGTTTTCGCTTGTTGCCTTTTGCTGGTTCTTTCCCTTTCAAGTAAGACAACAAGTCCTAACTTGGGTCGAAGTCTGGAGTCATGATACATCCCGAAAGAGAGTTAGCAGCCTGTGGTTGATTGTAATTAAGTCGTTTGTAGACCCAGTTCCCCTTCGCTAGTACCTGTTACCCTACGGGGTTGAACTGGGTTTACCGCCCCGGCTACAACCAACCTATTCATCTCCAAGATGTTCACGGGCTTTTGAAACCTAACTCCCTGGCTTTAGCCAAGCTGACAAGCCGTTTACAAGCCAGATATTCTGAAGCCCCAGGGGCTTGGGTGAAAACTAAACATACCCACCCCTTTAGCTGATTGGTTGCATGGCGCTACCAGAAGAGGCCCTTGAGAGGCGCGGCTTGCAGCGCGGCCGTGTGTCGAGGTGTGCATTGGCTTGGCCCCACAAAAGAGAGAAACAAGGTGTTGTCAGCAGGGAATGAGGGAATGACCCTTATGTGGTTTCCTTTAAGGGGACCAATTCCTGGGTTCATTCCCACATTCCCTACCTAGCGCACCGATCGCAAGTTGTGCCTCAACATGATGCCGATCCAGGGTAATCCTCCAATCGCGGGTTTGCGGCGGGGGTAGATAAACACCTCTTGTCTTTGGGGTTTGAGGAGCGCAGTCTCTTAGTAGGTACGGCCTTTGCATTCACCCTCTATGTTTTACCATGGCAACTCCGTTGCTCGCGTACCTTTCGTGGCAAGCGCCTGGATGTAGACTGGGCGTCGGTTTTGCAGCTATCAAGGAGAATTCGAACATATTTTTGGTCTACAGAGTTGGGCCAAGACATTTATCCAGAGCTTCGAAATGGCCGTGGGGATCCTATATATTCACTTGTTTCAGACAATTTCCGTGGCAAAACACAAGGAAAGTCATGCGTAATGTTGATTGGCCCCTTGCGGATGAGCGCGGTGTTCCCTCCCGCAAAGTAATTGATCCATTGCGCCCTATGAATCAACCAGTTGGTTCCTCTCGTCCAAATCCGACTGAAGGGCAGGGCATGGTGTAAACCGCTTGCGTAAAAACAGGGCGAGCCCATGGGTTGGTTTTCTTTTTGGTTTCCCGATTCAAGGCAGCGCCAAAAAGACAGGGGCTTTCCGCAAAACCACCGCAGGGAAGGCGCCTCGCCAGTCTCGCCGTGGGCCAAGGGACTGCGTGTTTGGGCCTTGCCTGGTGAAGTGAGCGCCCAACCCGGTCAGGTTGCACTTGGGGACTAGGCAGAGGCTGGTCTAAATTCCTAGCCAGGTAGAGCCAACAGATGCGTTTCGGGTCAAGTGAGGACTTCGACTTCGGCGGGTCGAAGGCGCGATAGAAGAAGAAAGCTTTGCATCACTCGAGAGGGTTCTCTCAACTTTGCCTTGAGTTCCTTTCAACAGAACCCCTGGTTGATTGTGATCAGAGGGTGCAACCCATTTTAGGGGGCTTTATTTTCGCGGGCCACGCCTTGCGGGCAAAAAGATCGAGTTGGATCAGGATCGCTCGGTATTTCTTTGGATGGGCAAGAGGACAAGAGTGAAGTGTCCGGTTTATGGCAGTTGCTTTGTGGCTGTCCTTCCCATCAGCTCCTTTGACATCCACTGCGCTCTTTATGTGGGAGGACCTTGGAATCTGGGTCCCCAAAGGCCCACTTGCCCGGGGTGGCTGGGCATTCCAGCCAAGGTTTCATAAGTGGGAGTCGGGGCGTATTGGTTTGCCTTCGGGCGCTACAACTTGAAAAGCTCCACCAGAAGGCCAATAAATGGGAATGGGTGTGTTGTTTACCCCGCCTTGTTCAGCAGGGAAACACTTCCGCGTTTCGACCCCGACCCCGAGGCCGAGCAAAGCGGAGAGGACAGAGGCGCTTCGTCGGTTCACCCGGTTCGGCGACGCGCGTCGAGTTTTGGTTCTGCCGTAGAAGCCCGGTTCGGGCTGCTGGGCTGAATGATGGCCAAAGTATCACGAAGTACAAGCTCACCGATTCGGGGATATGACGAGCGTACCCGGAATGAAGAGAGCTTTCCCAGACTCGCATCTGAACTTCCCGAAAACCCCCCGATCTCCAGGGATCTCCGCCGGAGATGGACTCAGCCCGAAGACATGGCTGGGCCTTCCAAGGCTTCCTGGGAATAGCTCCCATGGCTCATCTAAATGGCGGGGGAGAGTGGAGAATCAGGCTCTGTGGCTTAAAGGCGTTGCTTCTTCTCTGGTCCGTGGGGAAAAGCGGTCACAAATTTCCGGAAACTCGATCCCTGAACAATACTTACCAAGAAGCTGCGCGACGGATTGGTGACATCCTCCGTTCCTGTTTTGCCCCAATTGACTCTTGGAGCACTCCGCAGACAGGTTCCTTGATCCTGGATTTGTACAAGCGATGCAGTTGGACTCGCGGATTCGCCGGAAACGCAGGTTGGAGTCAGGGGCTACAAGCCGACCCCACGCCGGCGGTGTGGAAACACGTGCCATGCCCACCTGGCGCGAGTAGGGCGCGCTGTTTTTTACGGCGCTATGACGTGCCACACGAACTGATGAAGGAAGTTTGGGTGGAGATGCCGGCAAGAGAGCCACACAGTCTTCTTTTCGTAGGTGTCTTACCGCAATACGTCTATATTTGCGGGAAAATATGTTTGGCTTGTTGGGAGATTGCAGGAGCACTTATATCTCCATGTTAGGGGGCGGTTGCAACATCATAATGTTGTGAAGTGGATTTCCTTTGATTTCCGTACTTGCTTCAGGTGTAGGCGTGGGGCAGAAACGACGCTCACGCCTGGCCATGCGTGAAAGTATCAGAACCGTCCAAGGGCAAGCTGGACGCATGACTGGCCCTGAGGGAGCTACCGTAGAAGTGTGGTGGCCACATCCCGGCCCTGGGGGCCCGAGCCGAACTTAAGTCTCTCGTGGATGCGAAATGGATGTGTGTTGCTAGGGTCTCAGGATTAGTGTGGGCCTATTGGTTTTGCAGGTTGATGGGTATTGTTTTTTGCAGTTGTCTCGATTTTGGTGGACATCTTGCCAGGCATTTGCGCAAGGAGCTTGTTTGATCCGGGGTTCCCAGCTTGAGATTCGTCCGTCCGCAGGGCGATGCGTCCCCGACGTCCCCAGCGTCTCCAAGCTTGGCCCCGGCGCAGTCGCCCTTCCAGGACCGAGGGGCTCGTTTTTGCTTCTTTCCACTGGGCTGTTCAAAAAGTAATCCTTGATCCTTACTTTCGGTTACGCAACTGGGCCCCTTTTGTGGCTTTTCTCTAGGGATTATGGATTAGGATTGGCCAACCCTCCATCTTGAACAGCCCAGCTCAAGAGTGTTGAAGTTGAAAACGGGGCGAAGAATTGAGCGGATTCCATTGGTGTCCTGGTGTCCTTTGAACTCTTACCCTTGGGCCTGTGGGGCCCTGCAGCTTGGGTTTGGGGATGGGAATCCTTGTTGCAAAGGCGTGGTCTAGACCAGATCATATCTGGCTTCGTCGCAAAATGGGTATGGCGGATGTTCGGTTGATTTCTCGCAACACTCAGCAAAAAGGGGATTCCCAACTTTGATACCCAAGGGAAGCCCAGTCCAATATCATTGTGTTCTCTTTCCGTGGCTTGCGGGCCAAGCTATGGCCCCGGAACCAGAAATTATGGGATGTGACGCTGATTTGTTGGACCAGGGGTTTAGGAATTTCCATTGTAAATCGAGCCCAGGTCTTGTTGGCTTCGTATAGGTCTTACCTCCAAGCCTCTTTGGGTTGCACCCCTGCAGATTGACGTGGAGCCGCCAAAAAATAGAGGGAACTCCTTTCCAAATCGGACTCTGATATTAATTCCCAACTTCCTGTGCAGGGGAGTCAGACATTCATCTATCAGGTTGACGTCCCCAGTTTCGTTCAGGTTCAGAGGTGCATCCCAACAGGGTCTCCACAGTTTGCTTTGGTTCCTTTTTGTGCTCATCCATCAAGCAGGGCCACCCTTCTTAATAGTATATGGCTTCACAAAAAACGTGGAAAAGAGAACTTGGGTAGCAACAAGGGACTTCACATGACATATTTTGAAGGGCTTGCCCACTTAAATACTGGATGGACAAAAACCTTTACGTAGTTGTGTTTTCCCACCATCTGTAGGGGCTGGTGCAAGAGTTTGTCCTTCCACAGTAGTGCGCGCTGTTTGGGTCGGCAATCAGCGGCTCTCGCGAGGAGCGAAAGTCGCAGCGGGAGACCAAAATCAAGGCGCTGAGGGCAAAGTTGGAGCGTCCAACTGGGGTCTGAGTGAGGTTTGCCACATATCGTGAGTTTTGAGGTGCGTGTTATCTCCAGAGTTAAGCGGTGTTTTCGTGAGTTACGCATAGGAGGGCGTCCAATTCTGGGCATGGCCCTCGGCTTGCTTTTGTATGTTGGGTTTTGGCTTGTTTGAACCGGAGCTAGTTTTCTTTCAGCCTAGGGTAGGGAGCATAACATCAGCGGCTTGGCTAAGATTTGTCTGAGGGCGTTGAGGGGACATGCCAGGACTCAACAGCTGAGTATTGTTGCGATGTGTTTGCATCACGCTGCCAACCGTTTGATGATTCGTTTAACTCCTTACATGTTCCCGTGTAACGATTGAGTGACTGCCATTATGCTTTTCATTCCCATTTTAACTGGTTCATTGCCACTTTAACTACTGAAAGGCAAGTTTAACTCTTGTTGTTGCACCTTTAACTTCTCAATGGCAATTTTAACACTTGAGTGGCTGGCTTAACTCTTTTTTGACCAACTTAACTTTTTTATGCCGCGTTTAACTCCCGAGTCCTCTGCGCAGCCTTTTTTCCCTGAAGGCTTTCTCAGAAAGGTGTGTAAGTTTTAAGATAGTCTCATATTCCAAGACTCCGCCACGCCACAGACCCACGGACGAAACCTATGCAGGATCGTGAAGTGCTTGCGTGCGCGCGTCCGTCAGTGCACGCGCGCGTGCTCACACACACACACACACACACACACACACACACACACACACACACACACACACACACACACACACACACACACACACACACACACACACGCTGTGCGCCTGCGCACACGCGTCTGTGTTCGCGCGACGTTTGCGCTCGTGTGCGTGCATGCGCGTGGTGCGTGCGTTCGTGCGCGCGCTTGCTTCCGCGCTTGCGTGCTCTCGCGTGCGAGCGTTCGTGTGTGTATATGGGCTTTCTTTTTGTGTGTCCGCGCGTGGGTGTGCGTGTGCTCTGGCTGAGTACGGTTTGGGGCGTGTCCTTGGCTAGATGGATGCCTCAGAGAGGTGTGCCCGAAGGTTCTGGAGCGCAGCGGCCGAAGGTTGGAGCCCGACACGCGGCAGCCGCGCGAACCGCCGAGGTGCTGGAAGGAGAAGTTGAAGCCCGACGTGCAGCAGCCGCGTTGACCGGTGCTGCAAGGAGAAGGCGACAGCGCAGGAATGGGCGTCTGCAAGCGGCAGCAACCACTGTCAAAGTGAAGATGCAGGAATTGCGCGTTGGAGAGATTGTGGCGCATCATCGCTCAACGAACGCCCAGCCCCCTCTCACAAACTCACAGCCGCTTTTACAAACCTGCAGCCTTCCCTACAAACTTCCAACCCTTTACATAACCAAGCTTCTAGTCATCTGCACAGCCAAGCAGCAAGTTCAACAAACTGTCACTTGTTTTAGGAGACAGGCAGCTGCTTTAACAAGCTTCCGGCCACGGTAACAAACTTTCCACTGCTGCAAACAAATGTGCCAGTGCCTTTATCTATGTTTAACGGATTGCCAGTTCTTTGAACAACCATGCCTGCGAAGAAACCATCAATATCTAGGTTTGCACAGCTTTATTATCCCACCTTACACCGCCACCTCTCAGCCTAACTAACTTTCGCGGCTCTCTGACTCCAGCTTCAGTTTTCTAGCCGGGTTGGCTTCAGTTTTACCAGGCAGTGGCTCCTTCTTAGCCGGCTAAGATGTCCCTTGCCTCCTTACCAAGCTAGCTAACAGTCGCAAACGCGGCCAGCAGTAGTGTGGAGCACGGGCAGACCCGTTCGGACACTGCAAGGGCAAAGCGTGTTTCGAACCCCAACGCGGTTGGCCTGTGGGACCAAGGAGACGAATGTCAACTTTACCCTGATTGTGGTCCGGATTTATCTGAAGACATTGCTTCCTTCATTTGTAAGGCTACAAAGCATGTAGCCAGCCAAACCGTTCAAGTTTGCTTCTGTCCAACGCCCCAAATCAGTAAAACCTGCATGTAGCGAGGCGACGTGAGGTAACATATGAGATCAGTTGGAAGAGAATGAATCATGGCATATAGCGAAATTATGGATGACACTAGGTCAACCAATGCCGTGAAACAACTGACATAGCTCCTCGGGTTGTAATTGAATGACACCAGACAAACATAAATGCAATGACATCAATTGCCCGGCGTGTCTCTTGTTTCGAGGACTCCCCCAACATTGCGGTTTGCCCTTTGGGTTTTCCAAAAAAACCACGTTGTAGAACCAAACAAGGTCAGCTGAAGGAGGCCCAGTGTCGCGCACTCGCTAGGCCAAGGGCCCGGCGCGGCTCCCAGGAACGGATCGGAGATGGGGTTGGGGGTGATTGGGCGCGGGGGGGGGGGTGCGTGGGGGGGTGCGTGGGGGTGGGGGATGTGTTTCTGTCACCTTCTTTTCCGCATTCCGTGGCGTTTTTTGGTTACGCGCTGGTCCGGCAAGAAGATGGTCCCGAACGCCCTGAGAGTAGGAAGGTCGCCCACACAAAAACAGGAGTGGGTTAGCAAGACAAAAGTGGATGGTGGGTCGCGCACTCGCATGCTGGCACATCCAGTGCGAAAGGTGCTTGGCCAAGTGGCTCGTGGACAATGCGAAGGTGAAGCGCCGGTGTCCTTCGAAACCAAACTGATGATAATTTAGGGTGCCTTTCGGAAGGACAAAAGACAGGCAGTCAGCGAGTTTCAGAAATTTGTGCGGAAGGGGTGTGAAAGGCGTGAAGTGTCCACCGGTTAAGGGGGATGTTGTTTTCTTCCGACAGGCGCAATTACATGTGTTCAATTTTGCTTGTTTAAAGCAATGTTTGACTGAAATTTGACACGAAAGTTACTCGCTTGCTGATGCCTTTGTGGGAACCCAAGTAAAACATGTTTGAACTTTTGAACTGGGGTCTCTCCTGATATGTATTAAGCTAGAGTACGCATGAAACGGTGAATTTTGGTGTATCAACTTTTCAGAGCGGCGAAAGTCTCCAGCACCACCTTTACGTGAAAAGACAAACGCCCCCGAGACCACCATCTTGGAGTTGGGCCTGGAACTCGTGATTAAACACGTCACAAGGTGTGCGAGCCAATCACCAACCCCGCCTCCTTTTCTTCGAGGGGTGGTTTGGTCTGGATGGCAGGAAGGCACCCCCGCCTGGGGTACGCGCAAGGGCCGGTTGTGTCGCGGCATCGTCCACGGTTCACCCATTTCAATTTGACCCTTTCTTGCTGACATGCTGTGCCGCTAAGATGGTCATTTGGGCAATTTTGTTAACATGTAGCACCCTGGCGATGTTTGCAAGTGTCTGCAAATCAATGGTCTTGGGTAGACTCAGCTAATATCAGATCTTGATTATGAAGACATTGCGTTCCACCCCTTAATCTCCTCCCCCAATTAATGAATGACCCCCATTAATAATAAATGCGAATCCGGGGCCCGAGACCAGATTTCCACTCCGCACAATTGATTTTTAATTGCGCCAATACTAAACCAATACTAAAGTCTTGGAATCCTTATTAGGGGGCACTTTTAACAAGCTTCCAGCCCCACTTTTAAGCTGCGACTGTCTCTCCCCCACACATGCTGGCTAACCTGCCTGGCTGCCAACAAACAACCAGTAAACTGAAAAACAAATAGAATGATACATGAAATTTCCTTATTAAACCGCTTACTCGCGGACCTTACAATTCAATCCATTTCCTCCAAATCCTATGCGAACCCTCACATTGTTGGAAAAGCAAACCCAACCCCGAAAACCCCAATTAAAAAAAAATCTATTTTTGGGAGGATTTATTTATAATAGGGGGGGGGGGGCGTATTTATTAATAGGGGGAAGAGATTAAGACTGGGTGGTCCCTGTCTTCTAAATATTTGGGCAGACAAAAAAGTGCATTGGCCCCTATTTTTAGGTGTTTGTGCACCGAAGTCTTTATTTACACCAGTGTGCGTCTTTTCTATTATTTAGCGTCGCTTGTGCTTTGTAGGTGGCTCTCAAAGCCCCTTGTAGGTTTGTAGGACCAGGTCGCTGCCATGTCTGTGCAGGATGTGCTTCTGTGCAGGATTTTCTTTACTGGGTTCTTCCTGATTTTGAGGCCCGCCTGGGCTTGAACAACGCAGACCATGCGCAAGTTGTTTCACATGTGGGGCTGCCTTGATGCAATGATTGAATGAGACTTAGATTCGTTCACATCCGGCAAGGCGACGGGTCCACGCGCCAAGCCAAAAGGAAGAATGAGACGCAGCTCCGGGGCTGTTTGAACTATGCCAGTCGGATTGTTCAGCTTACCAAACAGCAGGAAGAGAGGTGCGGGGCCAAAGAGCCAGATCCACTGATTATCTTTGCCTTTGCTTCGCAGAAGGTTCGGGTGAACTTCGCGAAAATCAAAGACAGCAAAGAATTGACCGCAGCCGGGTGGAGAAGAAACATGCGAACCCATCAGAAGCTTCGGTTGCTTCACAGAGGCAGAAAAGGAAGCCGAGCTTGGTAAATTCCCTGCTTGGCGAAGATTGCTACTCGGCATGTGTTCGTTTAGGGTTGCTCGCTGACCTGAAGCAGCCGCTTGTGACTTGCTGTGTATGGGGCATGCCAAAGAGGCAGCTGAGGGCTGAGGCATACCCTTAGCAACCCAGGCCAGGTGCAAGTCTGGGCCTAGAGGCAAGGGCTTCAGTTTATGCCAATGGGGCAAACCGGCGTCCCCCGAGCAAGAAACAACTATAGAGGCGCAGGCAAAACAAATCGGCCAAGCGATCTCAGCCATTAGGATTACTTCTTGCTTAGTTATTGTCCGTTTCTGGATTGTAAGGCACATGGCAATGTGTCCAGATGACAAAAGAGATTTTCCATGGCTTCTTCATGCCACAAAACACCCAAAGAAACCTCCGCAGTTTTTTTCCCTCCCACACACAAACATGGAGCTGCGTGGTTTTGGTTGGAGAATCGTCCTCCACCAGGTGCCCTCTTCCCACTCTCGGCATCTGTAACTTGCCAACGGCTGCTGCGGATCCCGTCGGGTCCCGAGGTGAAGCCGGTGAAGGAGTGCGTCCCGCCCCGGGCGCACCTGAAACTGCCGGAGCACGTGAGGCGGAGATCGACCCGCTTGTTGGCCGTGGGACGTTCTGCTTCACCTTCCCTTTTCCCGGTCTTGACTCGCTGTTGCTGCTTTTGGGCCTGCCCCCCCCCCGCAAAGACAAATAATCTTTCACCAGTTGATGTCGCTGATTTGGAAGGGTGGCATCAAAAGGAAGAAGAAAAACAAAGGAAGCATGGCAAACATGATGGGTCAGCGGTGTCATGCGGTGTCCTTCTCCTTAGTTCGGTGGCTTCCCTGGATGGGGCCAACAGGAGATGCTTCCCCGAGCTTCGCCTTAGCGGCGCCTCACGTCCATTTCCCGAACGCCTCATCGGGCATGAGTCGTCTCTGGGCCATCCGGCGAGGGACTCCATGCTTTGACAACTCAATCACAATTCTCTCCACTCAGTCTCCAAGCTTAGTCCAGTCAAGTACCCCAAAGTGGACTTCAAGTCAAAAAACGGAACCCTGTGGAGAGACCTTGATTTTTTTTCCCCGCGGCCGCGTCTGGCCCGCCGAGCTTGTCGCAGCTTGCCGAGCTGCCGGATCTCAAAAGCACGGCCAGCGCCTCCGGTCGCCGAGGGGCGTGGGGATTCCGAGAAGTGAGCAGGTGATGGGGTCTCTAGTCTTCCTCTGAGGTTGCTGTCCCCGTACGTCATCCAGAGCGCAATGTTGAGCAAGTCGCTTGAGTCGACCCACTTCGACTTCTGGGCCACTTTGTTGCGTTTTCTTGGGTTTTGCTTCCCGCATCTTTTCCCAGCCTGCATGAATGGAGAACCGAACCGGGCAGCGCCCCAACCCCAGTGAATCATTCATTTAGGTGGTTCTACTGTCTGCTTTCCATCGGATTTCTGGCAATCATCCGAAACAACAAACATTTAGTGAGTCATGGATTTCCCCGCAATCCTCAGGCAAAAGCTCACATTTTGCCTGTCACATCGTTACAAAGCCCGGCTGATTTTTGGGTTTTCGGGCGCGGCTCACGGGCGGGCGGCTCGGGGGGGGGGGGGGGGGGCGGCCAGGCAGCGCTGGCTGCAGCGCCTCAAGGCCTCAGGCAGAAGTCAGCAGGAGGGGAGCCGACGGCCTGGAGCGTGGCCATGTTGACCCCGGATGGCGGAGGGTCAAAGATAGGGTCACCCCGAAATGGCTGGAACCCTGGTAAATGGACACATGGACGAAAATATCTGCGGTTTTGTGGTGGTCGTTTTTGACCCAGATGGGTCATCCTGTTTCTGGGGGTGGTCAAAAGTCAGAAAGTGGTTGGTTGTTTCCCTTTATCCCACCACTTGGGTGACTTTGATCATGGGAAAATGATGGGGGTGTCCCTTGTTTTTGTGGGGATTCATTACTTGCCCCAGTGGTTCCACCAACGATCTGCAACTTCAAGAAACGGGAGGGAGGGCGCAGCTAAAGCGACTTGGCGGGCGGATTCGTCGTGTTCCTTTCTCTTGGACTCCATGTTGGTGTGTGGGCTCTATGTGCTCTTCAGCCCAAATGCAGCACATGAGACGGTCTTCGGCGCGTGTTGTTGCTTCGGCTTCTTGCTAGTGGTGAATTGACCAAACTGTGTTTTTCTCACAAACCGATATTCCTTGAGTTCTCTGCTTGTCTGGAAACAAGATGTCGAAAGAATGGGGCAGTTAGCCCCAGAGTCAACAAAGCAATCACAAGAAGGGAAGAGCATCTTTGATGTGTGTTGTTGCATTTTTGGATTCAACCAGACATAACATCGCTGGTTCATCTTCTTCTTGGTGACCGCTTTGATTGTCCATGGGTTCCTTTGAAACCCCAGCCAGGAACACGTGAGCTCATTTCTTGCTGCAAAACTAACATGGGTTTGTGTCAAAGTGGGGGCGGGGGGCTGGCACTTCTGTATGTGCGCAATGGCGCCCTGGCAGAAACAATGACTCAGGCCCGGTCCCAACCCACATTGGCCACCCAAAGAATGTGTTTGGCTCGTTTTGAGCAACCCCAAGACTAGGATAGACCAAGCCTGGGCGGCTTTTCTGACCGAACGAGGTGAGAAGGCCTTCTGTTTTGTCCTTATTTTGGAGGAACACAGGGGGGGTTCGGCCTTGGATCCAGCCCTTCAACGAGCCAGGGCAAACAAACTGGTAGGGTTACCCGAAATGGCTTTAGGGAAAAGGAAAGAAAGACGGCGAACCGCCAAACGCGCGTCTGTCGCGCTTTTTTTTTTTTGGCCCGAGCAAAACTTGCTGGTGCTCAGCAGGGAATGAGAGTTGGAATGACCCCTATAAACTATCCATCCTATGGTTTCCTCTATTCGGGAATCCCCAAACGGTCCTTTCCATTTCTCATTCCCTGATCATGGCCGCAAGAAAAGAGCATCCCCCCATCCCCCCATCCCCCCATCCCCCCATCCCCCCATCCCCCCATCCCCCCATCCCCCCATCCCCCCATCCCCCCATCCCCCCATCCCCCCATCCCCCCATCCCCCCATCCCCCCATCCCCCCATCCCCCCATCCCCCCATCCCCCATCCCCCCATCCCCCCATCCCCCCATCCCCCCCCCCATCCCCCCATCCCCCATCCCCATCCCCCCATCCCCCCATCCCCCCATCCCCCCATCCCCATCCCCCATCCCCCCCCCCCATCCCCCCATCCCCCCATCCCCCCATCCCCCCATCCCCAAGCGCGCGTGCAGCACGCGCACGCTCCTTTTGCGCTTGCTGCTTGCACCGCGCCAGTTGCCGGCGCGGTGGTACGGCGCCCAGCTGCTGGACCTCTGCGCCGCGGGCGCGCAGCCTGCGGCCCTGCAGCTCAGCCGCCTGCAGGAGCGATTCCCGGGCGCGCGCGCGAGTCGGACGCGCCTGGAGCGTCGGCTGGGCCGGGCCTGGGTGCGGGGGGGGGGGGTTGGGAGGGTTCCTCCGTTTGAAGGTGGGGTTGGAAGGGTGGAAGGGAAACCAAAGGAAACCGGCTGTTTTGTGTTTAGGAGTCACCAATTTTTGAACACATTGCCGAATGGTGCGGAGTGGCTGTGAGTTGGGAGGACAAACAAAGCAGGTTGGGACTTTGAGCTGCCACAAAGCTCTCATCACTTGGAGCACTTTGAGATGGGGGCCTGGTCAATCGTGTGCCCCATTAGTTGGCCCGCCAAGTTTTTGGGTTAGAACAACACCCGAGAGCACCTTGAATGGCTACAGCTTGGGCCGCCGTGCTCGTGTGCTGGCCACTGGTCTCTCAGGAATTTCCATGGACCATCCCGGGCCACTGAATTGAACTTGGTCTTGGGGAGTTTTCCTGGAATCAAGCGGCTGGTTCATCCCTAATCAGCCCGGTTGATGGATCTTGCTACCGAACGTGGCGCTGAACTCAAAAGGTATGTCGGGTCCGCCTATGTGGCCCTTTGTTTCATATGTGTGTTTCAACACCTTGGCAGAACACTCATGTGAAGTGAGCCTTCCGGTGATGGGTGACGTTGTTGGGCAGAACAAGGGAGCCCTGTCACATATCATCACCTTGTCCAGGGGCTTGGCTGTTCAGGGGAAGAATTTGCCTCACAGACTCCGTGATTGGTATTGAAAGCGAAGCAACACAAAAATGGAGGCAAAAGGAGACCAAGCATTTTGGGCGACCCCAATTTGTAGAAACACCCGTTCCCCTGGCTTCAACCTCCATTTGAACATTGTGTTGCTCGTGGTTGGAATTTGGAATCCCAAGCCACCCCCCAAAGCGTTGAACCCCGCAACAGGTGCTGCCTCTATTTCCTGCGTCTCGAACAGGGTGTCCAACACTTGCTGGTTCTCAGGTTTTGAGAATGAACCCAGATCCCCGATCCGACTCGCTTGCATCTTTTAGGGACACGAAAAAGCGACCTGGGGGATTGGTTTCTTGACAGCGCCCGTGACGAATCCTGGTTCCTTTCATACAACGCTCGGTATTCATGCACCAAATCCAAGGCGAAATGTGTTTGAGCATATTTTTCGTTGCTCTCCCGTCCTGACTAAGTTTGATTTTGATCTACTCACTCGCCCATTCTACTTATTCTGGCCCGGCATCTTGTGGGTCGGGTTTCAATCCCGCTGCAGCTCCGGCGGGTTGCTACTTCGGAGAAATCGGGGACGACTCGCCTGAGGGAAGTTTGGGAAACCACAGGACGTCGTCGCCCAAGTATCCCCTTTAAGCACTTCACAGCCTAAGGCAGGATAAGGCAGGGTTCCGTTCTGACCGGGCTGAAACAAAGAGACGTTTGACCCCAGGCAAAGTGCAGCCGTCAGGGAACCGATTTTTTTGGAAGAGTTGCTTTCCCTTCTAGTGAGTGAGTTGACCCAGGATCTAAGTAGAACCCGAAACCCATTATTAGGGGGGTGTTCCCTCCAAAAGTGAATCCCCAGTAAAAGGGGACACCCCATTCATCAACCAGGGTTGTATGAAGCATTACTTGGGTTGATGAATCCGCGGATAAAAAATGGGTTGACCTGAAACATCTCTTGATGCCCTCCAGGAGCATCAGCAGACGTGGCCTGGGATGTGGCAGGCCGTTGGACCAAATCCTCGTTTGGATATGTGGCCGTGGGTCAAAACCAATGGTACCATTTTGGGACAGGTGCACCACCCATTTTAGCTTATTTTAGTTGGGATTGGGATGTTCACTGGGGGTACGGGGTTTTGACCCACAGCCATGTCTGTGTGTGTGTGTTCCTTGAGGGTGTTCTGCCGTCATTGTTTTGGTTCCGCCTCCAAGTCAAACTATCAGATCACATAGTTCCACGTGTTCAGTATTGCCGCAATGCTTCTTTTCTTTTCTCCCGTTGTTGTTTTGGGCCCACCTCCAAGTCAAATTCTCAGATCACACAGTTTTACCTGTTCACTATTGCTGCAATGCTTCTTTTCTTTTCTCCCGTTGTTGTTTTGGGCCCACCTCCAAGTCAAATTCTCAGATCACATAGTTCCACGTGTTCAGTATTGCCGCAATGCTTCTTTTCTTTTTTCCCGTTGTTGTTTTGGGCCCACCTCCAAGTCAAATTCTCAGATCACATAGTTCCACGTGTTCAGTATTGCCGCAATGCTTCTTTTCTTTTCTCCCGTTGTTGTTTTGGGCCCACCTCCGAGTCAAATTCTCAGATCACATAGTTCACTGTTCAGTATTGCCGCAATGCTTCTTTCTTTTCTCCCGTTGTTGTTTTGGGCCCACCTCCAAGTCAAATTTGATCACATTTCCACGTGTTCAGTATTGCCGCAATGCTTCTTTTCTTTTCTCCCGTTGTTGTTTTGGGCCCACCTCCAAGTCAAATTCTCAGATCACATAGTTCCACGTGTTCAGTATTGCCGCAATGCTTCTTTTCTTTTCTCCCGTTGTTGTTTTGGGCCCACCTCCAAGTCAAATTCTCAGATCACATAGTTCCACGTGTTCAGTATTATGCTTCTTTTCTTTTCTCCCGTTGTTGTTTTTGGGCCCACCTCCAAGTCAAATTCTCAGATCACATAGTTCCACGTGTTCAGTATTGCCGCAATGCTTCCTTTCTTTTCTCCCGTTGTTGTTTTGGGCCCACCTCCAGTCAAATTCTCAGATCACATAGTTCCACGTGTTCAGTATTGCCGCAATGCTTCTTTTCTTTTCTCCCGTTGTTGTTTTGGGCCCACCTCCAAGTCAAATTCTCAGATCACATAGTTCCACGTGTTCAGTATTGCCGCAATGCTTCTTTTCTTTTCTCTCGTTGGTGTTTTGGGCCCACCTCCAAGTCAAATTCTCAGATCACATAGTTCCACGTGTTCAGTATTGCCGCAATGCTTCTTTTCTTTTCTCCCGTTGTTGCTTTGGGCCCACCTCCAAGTCAAATTCTCAGATCACATAGTTTCACGTGTTCAGTATTGCCGCAATGCTTCTTTTCTTTTCTCCCGTTGTTGTTTTGGGCCCGCCTCCGAGTCAAATTCTCAGATCACATAGTTCCACGTGTTCAGTATTGCCGCAATATGCTTCTTTTCTTTTTTCCCGTTGTTGTTTTGGGCCCACCTCCAAGTCAAATTCTCAGATCACATAGTTCCACGTGTTCAGTATTGCCGCAATGCTTCTTTTCTTTTCTCCCGTTGTTGTTTTGGGCCAGGGCTGTGGGGAATGACCACTTCTGTGATACAACGGAAAGGGCTTCCCAAAAAACTATTGTGTTCATATAAAGGGGGATTCCCTTGTATCACAGAAGTGGGGAGAAACCCCTTGATCCCACAACCCTGTTTTGGGCCCACCTCCAAGTCAAATTCTCAGATCACATAGTTCCACGTGTTCAGTATTGCCGCAATGCTTCTTTTCTTTTCTCCCGTTGTTGTTTTGGGCCCACCTCCGAGTCAAATTCTCAGATCACATAGTTCCACGTGTTCAGTATTGCCGCAATGCTTCTTTTCTTTTCTCCCGTTGTTGTTTTGGGCCCACCTCCGAGTCAAATTCTCAGATCACATAGTTCCACGTGTTCAGTATTGCCGCAATGCTTCTTTTCTTTTCTCCCGTTGTTGTTTTGGGCCCACCTCCAAGTCAAATTCTCAGATCACATAGTTCCACGTGTTCAGTATTGCCGCAATGCTTCTTTTCTTTTCTCCCGTTGTTGTTTTGGGCCCACCTCCAAGTCAAATTCTCAGATCACATAGTTCCACGTGTTCAGTATTGCCGCAATGCTTCTTTTCTTTTCTCCGTTGTTGTTTTGGGCCCACCTCCGAGTCACATTCTCAGATCACATAGTTCCACGTGTTCAGTATTGCCGCAATGCTTCTTTTCTTTTCTCCCGTTGTTGTTTTGGGCCCACCTCCAAGTCAAATTCTCAGATCACATAGTTCCACGTGTTCAGTATTGCCGCAATGCTTCTTTTCTTTTCTCCCGTTGTTGTTTTGGGCCCACCTCCGAGTCAAATTCTCAGATCACATAGTTCCATGTGTTCAGTATTGCCGCAATGCTTCTTTTCTTTTCTCCCATTGTTGTTTTGGGCCCACCTCCGAGTCAAATTCTCAGATCACATAGTTCCACGTGTTCAGTATTGCCGCAATGCTTCTTTTCTTTTCTCCCGTTGTTGTTTTGGGCCCACCTCCAAGTCAAATTCTCAGATCACATAGTTCCACGTGTTCAGTATTGCCGCAATGCTTCTTTTCTTTTCTCCCGTTGTTGTTTTGGGCCCACCTCCAAGTCAAATTCTCAGATCACATAATTCCACGTGTTCAGTATTGCCGCAATGCTTCTTTTCTTTTCTCCCGTTGTTGTTTTGGGCCCACCTCCGAGTCAAATTCTCAGATCACATAGTTCCACGTGTTCAGTATTGCCGCAATGCTTCTTTTCTTTTCTCCCGTTGTTGTTTTGGGCCCACCTCCGAGTCACATTCTCAGATCACATAGTTGCACGTGTTCAGTAGTTCCGCAATGCTTCTTTTCTTTTCTCCCGTTGTTGTTTTGGGCCCACCTCCAAGTCAATTTCTCAGATCACATAGTTCCACGTGTTCAGTATTGCCGCAATGCTTCTTTTCTTTTCTCCCGTTGTTGTTTTGGGCCCACCTCCGAGTCAAATTCTCAGATCACATAGTTCCACGTGTTCAGTACTGCCGCAATGCTTCTTTTCTTTTCTCCCGTTGTTGTTTTGGGCCCACCTCCAAGTCAAATTCTCAGATCACATAGTTCCACGTGTTCAGTATTGCCGCAATGCTTCTTTTCTTTTCTCCCGTTGTTGTTTTGGGCCCACCTCCGAGTCAAATTCTCAGATCACATAGTTCCACGTGTTCAGTATTGCCGCAATGCTTCTTTTCTTTTCTCCCGTTGTTGTTTTGGGCCCACCTCCGAGTCAAATTCTCAGATCACATAGTTCCACGTGTTCAGTATTGCCGCAATGCTTCTTTTCTTTTCTCCCGTTGTTGTTTTGGGCCCACCTCCGAGTCAAATTCTCAGATCACATAGTTCCACGTGTTCAGTATTGCCGCAATGCTTCTTTTCTTTTCTCCCGTTGTTGTTTTGGGCCCACCTCCAAGTCAAATTCTCAGATCACATAGTTCCACGTGTTCAGTATTGCCGCAATGCTTCTTTTCTTTTCTCCCGTTGTTGTTTTGGGCCCACCTCCGAGTCAAATTCTCAGATCACATAGTTCCACGTGTTCAGTATTGCCGCAATGCTTCTTTTCTTTTCTCCCGTTGTTGTTTTGGGCCCACCTCCGAGTCAAATTCTCAGATCACATAGTTCCACGTGTTCAGTAATGCCGCAATGCTTCTTTTCTTTTCTCCCGTTGTTGTTTTGGGCCCACCTCCAAGTCAAATTCTCAGATCACATAATCCAACCGCTTTTGGTTGGTATTTAGAGAGAGGCCAAAAAGGAAGCTAAACGGAAGCCAAAAAGGCAACCAACCAGTTCAGGGGACCATACCCCGTCTTTGAGAAAGCTTCACCCCCCATTCAAGAACGGTTTCCCCTGAAACCGTGAAACTCCTTAGGTAAAAACCTGAGTGGCTTTTTTCAACCCCCGGCTTGTTTCTTTTATGCGTGGCAAGACCCCAAGCTTTGGACGGCCAAAGCTTTGGGCCGCCTTCTGCAGGACGGGCTGCGGCTGTCGGCGCTGTTGGTCCAGGTGAGCGAGATGCTCTTCCAGGCCTTGGGGTGGCGCACGATGGCGCGCCTGCGGCAGACGGAGTCCGATGAGTGGATTCTTTCTGGGCAACCATGGCTTTGGCGCATTTTGCCGAGGGATGGTAGGACTTTGACTTTTTGGCCAACTCAACCAAAGAGTAATTCCGACAGGCTTTAATGGAAAACTTTGACTTCTTGCTTGGTTAGTGTTCCGATTTTTACTACTAAAAGTGACACTTTTAGCAGGGGAGCAGAAAGCAACCGAGGATTCCCAGCGGGGATTGATCCGATGACAAGTGTCCTGTTGGTGTTAAGCAACTCGACAGTTCTCGGAAAACCATCATTCACCGTAGTGGGGTTGCCCATGAGGTGCCCAGACGGATCAGCGCGGATTTGGTTCCGTGGTGATGGGGGAAGGCCCATTCAAGCCTCAACCGAGAAAGCGCGCTGGATCACGTGCGGTCTCTTCCAGGGGAACCCTTTTGGGAAAACCAAAGAGCAGCACCGGCCGGAAGGGGTGCCTTTTGAGAACCACCCATGTGGGAGTTGGATCCTATGGGTATGTGTTTTCTAACACGGATGGACAAAATCCACTTTGCGGCAGTTGGTGGGTGGTTTCTCACAGTAATCATAGGGTTTCATCCGTCCCAACTTGTGCAGGATTTTGGTATGGCTAATTATGAATCATGCTTGGCGGCTGTGCCAGAAATATTTAACATTTTTGGGGTAGAGTCAATATGGAGCAGACGCAGCATATTTTTGCTGGTGTGCCCCAGAGTTTGGCCAAGATATGGGCATATGGTATGTGGTGCAAAAACACTCCGCTAAACAAAAGTCCCCAAACAGATAGCCTCAAAAAGTCAAGCTCACAGATATACATGTATATGTTTGATATACATATATATATATATATATATCAGTATTATATTTAAGGGCTGCCGCCCAGTGCCGCCGACCCCGGGATTTAGTTGTGGTTTTCGAGCAACCAAAAGCAGTGCCCTTGGTTTTGGTTTCTTTGGTTTCTTTTTGACCCAAATGGCATCTGAGGCGAGGTGCCGTTTCGACAGTGATGCGTAGTCATGATTATGATAATCGCTGCTGGAGATGCTGGGGATGCGTAGTGATGATTATCCTCATGATTGTCAGAGATGCTGCGAATGATGCGTAGTATGATTATTTATCATCAAGGCAGGACTCCAAATCTCAATGACACAAATGGCATCTGAGGCGAGGTGCCGTTTCGATAATGATGCGTAGTCATGATCATCGCTAGGCACCCTTGGTAATGCAGAGGATGCTACGATGATAGTGATCATGATAGTCATCCGCAGCTTTGGTAATGCAAAAAATGCTACGATGATAGTTATCATAAGAGTCATCATCCTCATCATCTTCATGATGATTGTCATCATAGTCATCGCCTTCATCATCGTCATCATGAGGTATTAGGCATCCTTGGTAATGCAGAGGATGCTACGATGATAGTTATCATGACAGTCATCCGCAGCTTTGGTAATGTAGAGGATGCTACGATGATAGTTATCATAAGAGTTATCATCTTCATGATGATTGTCATCCTAGTTATCGCCTTCATCATCGTCATCATGATTTTCTTCTATCTTTCTTCTATTTACATTTGAAATGCATCCTTGGTAATGCAGAGGATGCTACGATGATAGTTATCATGACAGTCATCCGCAGCTTTGGTAAGAGGATGCTACGATGATAGTTGTCATAAGAGTCATCATCCTTATCATCTTCATGATGATTGTCATCATAGTCATCGCCGTCATCATCGTCATCATGCTTGTCATCATCATCATCATCATCATCTCTTCCTTCTATTCTTCTATCTTTCATATCAAATGTGGCGTTAGGCATCCTTGGTAATGCAGAGGATGCTACGATGATAGTTATCATGACAGTCATCCGCAGCTTTGGTAATGCAGAGGATGCTACGATGATAGTTATCATAAGAGTCATCAGGCATGACATCTCTTGGCTCCAGCTTGAGCAAATCCTTCAATGAAATCATATAAAACTCTGATGACAAACACACACTTTTAACCAGCCTGAGTAAACAAATAATAATAAATAATAACTTCATATTTCAAATGTGGCGTTAGGAACCTTTGGTAATGCAGAAGATGCTACGATGATAGTTATCATAAGAGTCATCATCCTTATCATCTTCATGATGATTGTCATCATAGTCATCGCCTTCATCATTGTCATCATGATCATCATCATCATCTCTTTCTTCTATCTTTCTTCTATATACATTTCAAATGTGGCGTTAGGCACCCTTGGTAATGCAGAATGCTACGATGATAGTTATCAGGACAGTCATCCGCAGCTTTGGTAATGCAGAGGATGCTACGATGATAGTTGTCATAAGAGTCATCATCCTTATCATCTTCATGATGATTGTCATCATAGTCATCGCCTTCATCATCGTCATCATCATTGTCATCATCAATTGTCACATCAACTCTTCTTCTATCTTTCTTCTATACTTCTATATACATTTCAATTGTGGCGTTAGGCATCCTTGGTAATGCAGAGGATGCTACGATGGTAGTTATCATGACAGTCATCCACAGCTTTGGTAATGCAGAGGATGTTACGATGATAGTTATCATAAGAGTCATCATCCTTATCATCTTCATGATGATTGTCATCATAGTCATCGCCTTCATCATTGTCATCATGATTGTCATCATTATCATCATCTCTTTCTTCTATCTTTCTTCTATATACAAAGATGAGGGCTGTGATGATATATATCATCGTAGCATCCTCGGCATCATCAGTGCCAGCTAACAAGAGATGATGATGACCATGATGATAGTGATGATAAGGATGAGGACTGTGATGATAACTATCATCGTAGCATCCTCTGCATTGCCAATGGGGTCTAACGTTACTTTTGAAATGCATATAAGAATAAGAACAAGAATGAGATGATGATGATCATCATGATGATGATGAGAAGAGCGATGACACACACTGGTGATGCAAAGGGTGTTACGATGATAGTTATCATCATAATCATCATCATGATCATCCTTATTATGATGTCATCGCTCTCATCATCATCATGATGATCATCATCATCTCATTCTTGTTCTTATTCTTATTTGCATTTCAATAGTAACGTTAGACCCCATTGGCAATGCAGAGGATGCTACGACGATACTTATCATCACAGTCCTCATCCTCATCATCACTATCATCATGGTTATCATCATCTCTTATTAGCCGGCACTGGTGATGCCGAGGATGTCATCATCATCTCTTACCAGGCAGCACTGGTGATGCAAAGGGTGTTATGATGATAGTTGTCATCATAATCATCATCATGATCATCCTTATTATGATGACAAGGATGAGGACTGTGATGATAACTATCATCGTAGCATCCTCGGCATCGTCAGTGCCGGCTAACAAGAGATGATGATGACCATGATGATAGTGATGATAAGGATGAGGACTGTGATGATAACTATCATCGTAGCATCCTCTGCATTGCCAATGGGGCCTAACGTTACTTTTGAAATGCAAATAAGAATTAGAATAAGAGTGAGACGATGATGATCATCATGATGATGATGAGAAGAGCGACGACATCATAATAAGGATGATCATGATGATGATTATGATGACAACTATCATCATAACACCCTTTGCATCACCAGTGCTGCCTAATAAGAGATGATGATGACATCCTCGGCATCACCAGTGCCGGCTAATAAGAGATGATGATGTTGAAAAATATATAAAATTAATAATGATGATGTTGACGATAAGAATGATGAAGGATCATATCGATGATGATGATGATGATGGGCATCCGTATGATGCCAGTAGTCATATGCTTGCCTCAAAGATTAATCCATGCGCTTGTACTGCAACCACCCTTCCCGTGCGCCTCCCCTTTGAGGAGAAGGGGTCGGCGGATATGTAAGTATTATATGTATATATATACACATGGATATACTGATTCAGAGCCATAGCAAGGGTAGCCATTGCAGCCTGATAGCGACTGGGCCGCGACCTTCCCATGCTTCCCCTTGCGAGTGAGCTTTGACTTTTGGATGGGAAGTTCTACTCCCTACAAACTACCCTCCACGCGGAGCTCCGTCAGCGATTCCGCCCCAAAAGGTAGGTCTCTTTGAACATGAAGATGCTAGGTGTTTGCGTTCCACGTTTACCTTTAGGGGAGTAAGTATATGCCTACGTGTTGTCGGGTTGTGACTTTTGTGGTTTCTGTGTTTTGGGTTGGGATGTCTAAGTACCCGGAGTATATATGACCAAGGTAATTGGACGACGATCCCTGTTTCACCTAATCTGCCTATTTTACTGCGAGCACCTGGAGTTAAACCGAGCTCACCATGATGTAGGCCCTCTATTACTTGGGGATCTCACATGTCAGGTCTTGAACATATTGTAGTGTGAACAAGATAAGGTAGAAGCGATTATGAGAAAGACAACGGGATATATAGATATGGTGAGTAGATCAGAAAGAGATAAACATGAAATATACACAATATAGTAATAATGTCGAAAGTGTTTAATGATTTGATATGTTGTATCTCTTGGAGTTTTATCCGTCCAGCGGCCACGCCCGTCATCTCCATGTCCCTTCCTTTCACGGTCCTATCATACCCAGTCCTATCACTCACCTCTAAAACCCAGGACTGACTTTTCCCTTTGGTACAGGAATGTTGACCAGCCTCCGCTGATGGTTGGTTTGGATTGGTTGGGTTGGGGGCTCCCCCTGTTTTGATCAACCAGGTTCAACTCCCCATCCATGCCAAGGGGTTGCCCCGAGCCAGAGGAAGCTAGCAAATTTGTTTGGGGTGGAGTTTCCCTTCGGAGTCTTACCAATCCTGGAATTCGGCCTTCCACGCGTTTTTTGATGGTCCTTTTTGGGGGTTGTTGCTTTATTGAGGGAGGGGAGTGTGAAACTTGAGAGTTTGGCAGTTCCAAATTACAACCCCTGCGGACGGCATCGCCAGGCCTGCCAAGTTGCAGAACACGCCTCCGCCGCGCTGCTCAAAGGATTGGAAGGCGCGGAAAGGTGAGCGCCATCGCGGTGGGATGTGTTGGGAGCTTGTTGAATGGATCTAGGTCCCCCAGCTAGGCGCCCTTTCTCACCGTTTCTTTTTTGGAGGAGGGTTCTCCCTACTAAAATAGACTACAGAAAAAAGTTGGTGCCCTTATTCTAAGCTCTCTACTGGAGGACCTAGGGATTGCAACGAAGAGGTTCAAACAGTGTGTTTGAAGACGGGCCGATCCATAATATATGGCTCCGCCAGGAGGAGCAATCCAGTAGGTTTGATAGAACCTCTTTCCCACCGGTTCCATATTCTTCCGAGACATGGGGACCCTGCATCCCCTAAGAAGTGGGGGGGGGTTTCCATGTTTAAGACTCGAAAACAAGCGAGGCAGCATGTATATTCAAAGTGGATCAAGGGGCCTTGGAGTCCCGGAGTCAAGAGTTTGAAGGCTCTTGTGACATGCCATAGCTTCCACTCCTCAGTCTCACACCTTCCTGAAATGGCGTCGGATATGAACAACTCTCATGGGGGTCCACATCGGGTTTCAGTGGATGGACAACGCCCACTTCGCCCATGGGATGTCAGCCATCCCTGGAGTTTGTGCGGGGAAGTCTCCAGGGATCCGACCAGGCCTGCGGGATCTGGCAAAACAAAACAAAGCAAACAAAACGAGCCCGTGCGTTTTTTGTTCTTCATTTTTTTCCTTATTTTTTCTCCCCATGGCGGTCCGTACTTTTTTGGGCTTTAAGAGTTGGAACCACAGAAGTGGTTTGGACATGACTCCCCACCGCTATTGGCAACTGGTCTATGCTTCCGGGGCATGGAGTAACCCTTGGGTGCACCAAGAACGATGGAGGTTCAGTCAATCCTGTCTATCGTCCGCGCTTGCATGGGGGAACAAGCTCGCGGGACGAGTTCAGTGGTTTTCTGCATCACCTGCTTGGCCCATGTAAGCTGAGTTTCCCTTGGGGCATGTTTCACGGACAAATACTGGCAACCGTCCCTGGGTTTCCCTACGTATCCCGGATACGTATCCGCCATCCCTGTGGATTTAAGCATCTTTTGGAAGGTCAGCGTTGTGTTGCGTCTCCTTCGTTGGCGGTGTTTACACGGACAAATCCATTCACTTGTAAAATGGATGGCCATACCACGAGCGAAGCAAAGGCGGCTATGGGGTGTTGGTTTACGTTTCCGAGGAGTTTCCTTTGACGTATTTGTATCAGGGGTTGGTTCTGGTGTGGAAAGTGGGCAGCTCTGGTGTTCTAGAGATTCTGCCTCTAGAGATTCTGCCGCACGGGGACATATTTTGTTTTTCCCTTCATTTTTGTGAAGACAACCTGAGGTCTCTTGGAACCCCTGCCCATAGGTCGAACCACCTCGCACACGGCAGCTCTATTCATGTCTCAGCGGAGCTTTTCAACCGACGTTACATGGAGTTTCGCGAACCAGGCCTACAAAGGGCCGGGCATGTGGCTGCTCGCCCGGTCAGGGAGGTTGCCCTTGAACTAGGCAAGGCCAGCCAAAGTTGAAAACCAGGCTTTGGTTTCGCTTGGAAACAAAGGGAACCAAAATGGCTGGTTTCCTTTTTCCTGCATGCGCGTGGGGGGATGGGGGGTGGGGGGTGGGGTGGGCAGTGGAAGCAAGCATGGCGGTTGGTCTACCTTTTGGCTTCCCTTTAAGACTAGCAGAAGGAGGTCCCCACAAAAGACACCCATTTCGTAGAAGTCAGGGATGGAGTCTGCAGGGATGGCTTACGTTTGTTTGATAGCCATCACGGACCAGCAATGGTTTGGATTGGTGGGATTTGGACCCCTGGTTCAAACAGAGGGTAAATGGGGCCACCGCGAACCAATTCAAACCACCAATGAGAAGGAAGCTGAGTGCGGGAGTTGCCAAGTTTTGATGCACAGAATCAGTCATGTGGCCGTGGGTCAAAACCAACGTACCATTTTAGGGTAGGTGCACCACCCATTTTAGTGTAGGGATTGGGATGCTCACCGGGGGTATGGGATTTTGACCCATGGCCATGCCTTTCTGCTCGCATGGCAGCAGAAAGCCCACTCAGATCCGGTCTTGCGGCCGAGGGGTGACCTACTATAGTAGATCTTCTGGCAAGCCGGGACTCCCTCGCCCTAGTTGCCTCCAGTAGAGGGGTGGTTGGAATCCTATGAAACTGTCTTTCATATCGTTTGCAGTACCCCACTATGATTGTTTGAGCCCTTTAGTATCTAATGACTTGAGGCTGACGAGTTGCAACTCCTTCAGGTGTGTACCTTCCACTAAATTGTAATTGCGCCTTGTTTGTTTTGTATTTTCCTGGTTTTATTTGTTCAAAGACCAAAGAGCCGCGGGGGGGGGCGGGGGGTTGGAGTCGGAGTCCTCTGTGTCGTCGGAGTCTGTGTCCACGTTGCCAGGCGACGCGCCCTCCGCCCCTTTCGCGCCTTCCCCGCCCCCCGCCACGCCGCCGCCGGCCCGGCGGCGCAGCGACGCCCTGGCGCCGTCGCCGCCGCCAGCCTCGCGGCGCTCCTCCGCGGAGCTCGAGGAGTCGAACGCGGCGCTCGGCGTGGCCGCGCCGACGGCGGTGCTGCGGGCGGCGCGGCGGCGCTGCCGGGGCCTCGGAGGTTTTTTGGGGACGTGCCACCAGAAGAAGCACCGGGAGCGATGATTTCCCTGTAAATACTAGCCAACAATGGTTTCCCATGGTTTCAAAGTGTGCAGGATTTCGTCCATCCACAGTACCACCAGAAAAGGCAATTGGTGACTTCATTTGGGTCAACAAAAGCACCATCGAGATAGACCACTTTCTTTTATACTAGGGATCCGTTTTGGCGACGTATGTTTGGCCCACGGCCATATGTTCATGATTTCGTTATTTTTTTTTAATGTAAGGAGCTTCATGATCTCAATGTAGAAGCACTACTTCAAAGAGGGTTGAAGCCCAGGGTATATGGTTCTCGGTCCCCAAATGACAATGGTTTGTTTGGGTTTCCTTGCCGACAACGGGGGCCAGCAGTTTGAGACAATCAGAGACTTGAGGTCTGGGTCATTTTTCGTGGTTGAAAGAACCGAAAAGACAGCCAGCTCGTTGTGCACTAAGTTGAGACACCCACCTGGGCACCACCTGAATCTTGCCTCAATTTCTTCCCCAAATTGACCCTGTAACTGTAAAGAGGGATGAACAATTCCCAGCAACTTGCGGACCGGAATCAACAATCAGTGTTTTGAAGGTTAGGGAATAGTCCCGCCAACAAAAAGGTGGGAAAGTCGCCTTTTTGATTCTTTACATGATGTGGGTCGATCATCTTGACAGTTACCAAGTTTTGAATTTGAGTCGCGCTACTGTTCTTGCGTTGTTGAAAAGCAAAGGAGGTTGCTGGGCAAGGAAACCCAGGAGGTCCATTCACCCCCTGCGAGGCAGGGTGACTTCTTAGATCTTAGGACAAGTATTCCTAAAAAGTGGTCATGGATTCCCAAGTGTGGGGTCCTCTTGTCCAAACGGGATGCAACAAAGAACCAGCTGCTTGAATGGACAACTTTCGTGTCCTTTGGAACTTTGGAGTGGGACTTCCCAATCAAATGCTGCTTTTCAAAGGTGACCTTTTGGTTTTCAGTTTCGGAGTATAAAAGCTCACAAGTCTATTCATTGCTTCGGGAGGACATGAGGCCCCAGATGTCCTCTTGGGGACGCAAGTAATGTGCTTTGGGGCTCAATTTGGTGAAGGTTGCGACGGGTGGTCACCCTATGCTTGCATTGAGCAAGTGAATATGCGGAACAACGAAGATAAACGCCAACAATTCGATTTCACAGTAAACAAGGGGCACTAAGGTGAGGTGAGTTCACCAACATGTGTGCCCAGCAACGAAAAGCCCTCGATTTTCAAAGATACACCCACAGAGCTTAAAGGTATCCCTCCAGAGGTCAGGATTTCGGAGCGACCTGTTCAAACGAGAACCCAAGCCTGAACCGGAAAGATTTCTCATGTGCACATGTTTACCTTTTAGCCCACAAAAGCAGAGGTTCTATCTTCCAGTTCAGGGTCGTTTGTTGGTTGTTGTGTCTTAGATGTCCAACCCGAGTCGACCTCGGCTTGCTTCCTCTTTGAGCCCGGTGGTCGATCGGGTACGTTTCCCGGCCCTTTGGGGTGACGTCAAGTAAACCTTCCGTCAAAGGGAAGAGACCGTTTCGCTAGTGTTTTGTTCGTTGCTTCATTGCAAAACGATGCAAAACGATGAAAACTTTGGATCGGTGATTTCGGGGATCTGAGCCCACTCTTGTAGCGGGTACAAGTCATGCCCTGACCCAACCACTTGGCTGACACCACCCCCAGCCAATCCGAGGCTTTCGCGCCAACCTGGCGGAGCCGGCGCCGCCCGCATGCCGGAGCCCCCAGGGCAGGAAATCGGCTGAAGGTGGACTTTGCAGGTGGAGACATGTTGCACTTTGCAAGTGGATGGCGGGGGTCGCTTTGGGTCTGTGTGTGTGCGTGTGTGTTTGCGCTTCTTCTTCTTCTTTTTGATTTTAATTTGGGATCGATTGCCGGCGCAATATCCCTACAGGGACAGATATCGTCGAACAACTCCTTGATGGGAGTTTACATTTTGATGGGCTTGAGGGGGAAGCCAATGGCATGAAGTGAAGTGTGACGGAGCTGGCCACGTTGGAATCTCAGCCATAGATGTGTACGCCAGTACTTGGATGACCACCCCACTTGGTCCATGGCGAACAGCCGAGGTAATGGCTGGCCGTGGAAAGTCCTCTCAGGATTCCCCTCCCCAGGGACTTACCAGGGGGTTAGCCGCTTAGCCACACGGAGCCATGGGTAAAGCCCCAAGGACTTGGCTCCAAGTCTCAGGGCTTCTTGGTCCGGGCGACTGCTCTATGTGGCGTAGATTTCTGTGGTAAGGACTTGAGAAAAGAAAGGGCCAAGAGTACTTTCCGTGAAGGGCGCTGGCTCGTTTTTTGTTGGTCCTTAAGATGACCATGTCGGGTTGAGCCTTTGTCTGGTGCTTTTTGTTCACCACATTCGAATCGCATGTCCCGCCATGGGTTTGACACCAGGGTCCCCGGCTGCCGCGCCTCCGAAGTTCCGACCCTTGGTCGCTGGAGGCCTCCCCTGCAGAACTTTCCAGGAGGCCACGACGATGGCGCAGGCCGGGAACGCGCGTGTCCCTATCTGGCTAGGAATTTTCATAGGGAACCCCCTAGTGGTTGGTGGACATAGGTGTCCTTTTTGGTTGTTTTGGTAGAAAAATAGATGGCGATTCCTGGTTTGCCTGGTGGTTTCATCATCTATCACCATCTATTTCCCCCAAAAGGACGCCTATGGGGGTCCCCATTTGGCTAGGAATCACCACCGAAATGATGTCCACCAAAGGGTCCCGAATGAAAATGAATACCTATGTTTGTCAACCTTGGGACATCCCAAAGCTGGTAAGCCATGGTATGGTGGACATCGGGTAGGTCATACCCTACTGGATGACAAAGTAGTCGCAGGATGGGAGTTCCGTTAAGGCATCGCAGATTTCAGGGTATATGGGCGTTTCAATTCAGTGTGGAACATACTTCATAAATAATTGGTTTCTTAAGTGGGAACCACGTGCATAGGCTGTGGGTATTGTGAGACCTTTGCAGGGATCCATAAAAGGGAGAAAACTGTCCCTTTTGGTTTTCTTATGGCTGACTTCTTGCTGGCTGAACAAGAATCAACTTCTTTTAAACAAATCCAAGCATCACTGAGGATCACTGCTTTGTTTGTTTTTGGAACGTTTCAATT